GGGGGGGAGGTTAAGAGGTAACGTGGTTCTTCTTCGCGTGCTGTGCGTATACAGCAGTACTGTATTCGAAAGAAGGTTGTTGGTTAGCTTCGTTATTACTATAGTTCATTCAGTTTTTGTTTGCGGCGGATGCTCAAGATGGTATCATAAATATTGAACGGGTAGAGACGGAGAGTTTATCTGATAATGGAATCCGATAAAGACAATGAAGAACCCGAGGAGGCACAGTCTTCCCTGGGGCGCAGCTGGAAAAAGAAGTCGAAGGTAAAATATTGAGGATTGTTCAAAGAATTAATTCGCATCTCATTTGAAAAATTACCTAAATGGCGGAGAATGGATGATTTACCTTTTTAAAACAGCTGTACGTTTGTCACCTGCTGTCGTCTTGGGGAGACAGAATGTGGACATTTGCCGTCGGGCTGTACATGATGAAGTTGTACCCGGATTCTTTGAAACTGACAGCCATTTACGGCATAACTGTGTCCGCATCCATCATAATTTTTGGGAGCTTTATCGGGGCTTGGATCGACAGAACCTTCCGGATCCGTGGTTAGTTATATACACAGCACTAATTGTGCGTGAAAGAATAAAATACCATACGAGCAACAGCACAATACAAGAAACGTAAAATGCCGACGTTATTTGTAATCGGGTAAATGTCGGCTTTTTAAGAGAACCTAAATGATGCGGCTCTTCTATACAAATGAGCGCACACTTTTCGGATGAAATACGTCAACGCGCGAGATGGTGTCAAATTTTGAACATTTAGTCCATCATCCAGGGTACCATAGTGGTACTGTACTTGTACTATATTGACACCTTTTCGGGGCGACACTTTCCAACTTTCACTATAATATACTTGCAGTAAATACATTATACAGTACTGTACTTGAAGCTTTCATAGTTTCTGCACGTGTATTCCCGTTCGTGGTTCTCATCCTTCCGTTCCCTTCAAAAATGTTGTTGGATATTGACGATTTTCGCGAAACCAAGCGTGAGTTTTTTCTTTAACTTCGCAGCTGCCCGAGTAGCCTTGCTGACACAAAACACCAACGTTGCCGTCTGCGCGCTGTTCTTGTTGATAGTACTGACTTTCAACAATCGACTGCAGGAGTACGCTTATTGGGCGAAGCCTTTAAGCCAAGCCGTCATCGTGTTCGTGGCAGATGTCGCTGCTTTGGCTTCACAGGCCTCTCATATTATTCTTAGCAGGGATTGGATTGTCGTCATTTCTGCTGGTGACAGAGCTCTACTTTCTAGTAAGTACAATTTTGAAAAGAATAATGAAATATTGCTGATTACTGACTACTAACGTTACTTATCTGGACCTGTACATGTAAGAAGCATTGTGGCTCCTGAAGTCCTGATGATGCTCAAGCGGATGCAGCAGGAAGTGCTGTTAATCTGTTATTATGGTAGGGATGAATCATGGGAGCAGTATGGGTTTTACAGAACTGAGAAGTCTTTGTGCAAATATTTTCTGGGATCCCGTACATGATTCAGGATTGTAATTTTTTCGTGAGGTCGAAGTACAGTATAAAACAATTTCTGATCAATCCCGTGCTGCAGGTTACAATTCAGTGATGAGAGCCATTGATCTGGGCTCAAATATTCTCGCTCCGAGCAGTGTTGGCTTTGTGATGAGCTTGATGTCCGCGAAGTCCGCCGCTGTCTTTCTCAGCGCCTGGAATATCGTTTCCATGGCAATCGAATACATGCTGCTGACAAACATTTACAAGAGCTTCCCTGATTTGGCCGTGAAATCTTTGGCAACGGATAATCAAGAATCTTTCTTTTCGCCGGATGGAAGTTAGTCACGCCGGGCTGTCGGTGATCCGTAAACAGCTTGATTCATGGGATCGTTTTCGTAGGTGTGGAAGACCAATCAAAAATTGAAAAGCGTAGTGGATCTTCGGAATGGTTAAATAGTTGGCTCAGTTACTTCAATCACGAAGTTTTCTCCGCCGCATTTGGATTGTCGCTCTTGTACATGACCGTGCTAGGATTTGATCATGTAACCACAGGTACGATTTTGGACAATGATTCAGTAAGCAGTGAACGCGCACACAGCGTAGCTTTGGTCTTATAGTCTTCGAACTCATATTAAACGCACCACCATGAGCAGGCATATCGATATATAGGGAATGTGTCATAAACAGGGCTCTGTTTTCGCACTTATTCTTCTAGAGCTAGTAGTTCGAATTTCCGGCTTTCTTTTCCAGCCTACGCGTATTCTCAAGGAGTTGAACCGTGGGAGCTTGGGATGTTCTCTAGTGCAGGAGCACTGGTTGGGATGGCCGGAGCGCTGAGTTTCCCTTTCCTGACGGCCAAACTTGGGTTACACCGAACTGGGATTCTAGGTTTCACTTCGGAGGCTCTCATGCTTTCCGCATGTTTGTTGTCCATCTTCCTGCGTGGATCCCCTTTCAAGGTACGCTACTTTTCTTTCGATATTCAGGGGATTTCTCGAAAGTGGTACTGTTCCCCTGCTGTAAATCATCATGGAGGCATAAATGAAGTCTGTCTATCTATTGTTAACAGCTAGCATGTTCAGACTATTTTCAAGTGCGTATTTACGGTAATGTAATCCCCCTCGCATCATCCTTCTAAATTTTTCATGCGTAAAATTAAACTCTACAAATAGGCGAATAAAAGCACCCAGCACTTACTTCCTTTGTGTTCTGACTTTCCAGGAACTTTAAATTCCTGACTAAATTTCCGTTTTCCCCAGAAAAGGAAAAGCTGTGGCACAGCACAACCCTTGCTCTTACAGATTCCCCTAGAGTCAACCACTCACGCAGCATGAATTGCTGTAAAAGCGGACCATTTCATGATTATTGTCAACTTGAATTTCAAAAGAACTGGAGAAAATTGAAGTTCGTTTGTTTTATGAGCCGCAAACAGGAAGATTTCTTGGCATAAGGGCATATATACGCGAATTTCATTATTGCTGTATGTGAATATAAGCACCTGCGTTTTTGAGTGTCTGAAAATGGTAAAAAGAGAGATGCTTGTGCAGTATTCGCGTAAATACGGTATCACTACGAACGATGAGCACGAGAAACGAGATAATTAACGAATTTTTTATACTGTGCATACATTTTTTGTGTACGTCAATCTACACATAGAAGGGTCTAAACTCTAAACAATAATTCAGCAAACTTTGACATGAAAGATTCGGGAACGTATCTGATGGTCAAATTATATCGCCGAACCTCTCAATTTATATTCGTACCGAAATAAATCATTAAAAAAGCGAAAATTGATGCCCCTCTGCATTTACTGTATATATGATGACGATTTGTATGCTTGTATAGATGACTTACAATTGCTTTAGCGAGAATCCCCTTTGTAACCGTACGTGGCCTCCCTATTTGAACACTTTCTCATGTTTCCAAAGTACTTGAATGTGCAAGATGAATTGAGCGTCGGGAGCAGTGCGATGCACCCAGCACTTACTTCCTTTGTGTTCTGACTTTCCAGGAACTTTAAATTCCTGACTAAATTTCCGTTTTCCCCAGAAAAGGAAAAGCTGTGGCACAGCACAACCCTTGCTCTTACAGATTCCCCTCGAGTCAACGACTCTTGCAGCAGGAATTGCTGTAAAAGCGGACCATTTCATGATTATTTTCAGCTTAAATTTCAAAAGAACTGAAGAAAATTGAAGTTCGTTTGTTTTATGAGCCGCAAACAGGAAGATTTCTTGGCATGAAGGCATATATACGCGAATTTCATTATTGCTGTATGTGAATATATAAGCACCTGCGTTTTTGAGTGTCTGAAATTGGTAAAAAGAGAGATGCTTGTGCAGTATTCGCGCAAATACGGTATCACTACGAACGATGAGCGCGAGAAATGAGATAATTAACGATTTTTTTGTATACTGTGCACACATTTTTTGTGTACGTCAATATACACATACAGTAATAGAAGGGCCTAAACTCAAAACAATAATTCAGCAAACTTTGACATGAAAGATTCGGAAACGTATCTGATGGTCAAATTATATCGCCTAACCTCTCAATTTATATTCGTACCGAAATAAATCATTAAAAAAGCGAAAATTGATGCCCCTCTGCATTTACTGTATATATGATGACGATTTGTATGCTTGTATCGATGACTTACAATTGCTTTAGCGAGAATCCCCTTTGTAACCGTACGTGGCCTCCCTATTTGAACACTTTCTCATGTTTCCAAAGTACTTGAATGTGCAAGATGAATTGAGCGTCGGGAGCAGTGCGACCATAAAATACGATGTGGAAATACTTGGCTCGACGTCGGGGATTGAAGAAACGTGTTCAGGTTGTTTGGTGACGACTCAGTCACCGTTTTCTAGTCTCAGTGTTGCTCACGCAAATGGAACCTTAGAAAATCTTACGAATCCTCCGAACAGCACTTCATTGCGATGCACACAGCGCAATTATTCCATCCTATTTTACCTTGGTGGAATTATTGCCGCACGTTTCGGTGAGTCCTCTTTACAGGAGCAAAAGAAAACTGTTGTACAGAATTCAAGAAAATTTTTTTTATATCCGTATCTTTGAAAAATCTTGCGTAATTTTGCAGTGCAGTAAGAATTCTTGATGTGGAGAATAGATGGACAAAGATCGATTTCATATCGAAAACATGAGACATCTTTTCACCATCACTAAGCTATAAATATGATTTGACCTACAAAATTTTGAGCAAATGTTTCATAAAGTAAAATTATTGTCTGATTGTTGATTTTGAGGTTAATTTTACTTGGAGAGACAATTTGTTGGCCATTATTTTTGCGGTTTATAATTGCGATCTATGATATTACCATCTGAAAATCGATTAAAGGCATGTTCAATGGCCTGTAACTAATCAAAGAAGCATTTTGAGGCCCAGAAAAGTAACAATTATAGTCTACTATAATTATTTTTTCTTTCCCCCAACACAAATACTGTATGCTCGTTTCCAGCCTAACTCGAAGCTTCCCTAATTCTATCTCTTCGCTGTTCCCCTGAAGTTTGAATTGTAGAGGTTCGACTGTATTTATGATCTTGAATAGATAAAAAATTTAGATACCCTTCAAATTTGCGTTACGTCGCATATTTAGTCGCGTGAAAAAATGTTTTGTGATTTATTTCCTTAAAACTACTTTAAAATGTTGAAAGGCTTGTGGATTGCCGATCTTTCCGTAACGCAAGTGATGCAAGAGCGAGTTGCCGAAGATAAACGTGGAATTATCAATGGACTCCAGTCTTCAATGAACCAGGTGTTAAACCTGCTCAAGTTCGTTCTTGTCGCCGTCATCCCTGACACGGACTTATTCGGGTTTCTTATCATTGCGTCCTACTGCTTCACTTGTTTCGGGTGAGGTTTTCTCCCATTGAAAATTGTTCACGCAGTTTTTCAGTATAATTATGTACGCTTCTATGAACATTAGGTGCTTGTCTTTTGGTTACTACTGCCTGCGAAACAGAACTGAAAAGTTCTCTGCGAAGGACGTGTCGAAAGACCCCGGCGAAAATGTGGAACTTCAATCAAACGCACAATTAGATTGACCATGCAATTGTTGATTTCGATCTCATGTTAGCTGAAAACAAAAAGTATTCGTCGATTGTTCAGAACTTCTCTGTGATTTTATGTGCTGTGTTGCTGCAAGTTGTTGGAAAGGTGATGTTCGTAGCAATGTATTACCGTCCTGAGATCTAATTCACGCAGTTTTAACTGTTGGTTTTCGCCATATTCGATAGAAATTTGTTTCTAGAGGAAAATAAAGAAATAGTGTCCTCGATCTGTTGTACTTTTCAGTTAGAAGAACCCAAGAATACGAACAGAGGTTGTCCGTCCTCGGGAAATGGATAAACCTCAACATAACCTAATCTAAGGTCAATGAGTCCTTTCATCGATGGATTCATAATATACATGATTCTTTTAATAAGAGAGTATGAAGAACAGCATTCAAATTTCTATATTTTAGGCAGTACGTATATACTCTATAACATGGGATACGTCAACGTTGATTGAAACAAGACATTGGATGCTATACATGCGAAAACTTGAAGAAATTGTGTTTTTTGGCTGATTTTCTGTATAAGATGGAAGCTTGATCACATTTTTCCAACAGTTGATTTCGTCTTCTTTCGATATGTTGTTGTAACCTGTAACAGCGCACTACAAATTCATTCCATGTTCGTGAAAGAGTAAGTATTTTATATTTGTGAAATTGGAATTTCTTTGATGATTTTCCCTATTTTTTTCTGTGTAATTATTTTATTCAAGTTCTTAATTCGGTCAGAACTGCCTAATGTCTATTTTAAAATCTGCAAGGGAAAAAAAACCATTTCGCGTCACTATACAGAGACGAAACTGAACTCCAGAACCTTGATTATGTTAATCCGTAAATTCGTTCTCCTCTGACCAATACCTTCTGAATAGGGAGGATTAATATTTGTCAACCCTTGCAAGGGTTTTCCTCGTGATTTCAACCGAATGACGGCCCGTGATGATGCAGATCCTGATTTCCTCTCTGCGCCAGAAGTTGGCGGGCTCTCGTCGAATGCTTTCATTGGTGCAAAATGGCCGAACAGAGTCAAGGTACGTTTTCAATTTAATTCTTCGTACAGTAATTTCGATCAGGATGCAGGGATAGAGCGTATGTATGACATTTTGTTGTGGAATGCAAATGTTGCGAGAGCGAGACAAAAGTTTTCTTCTTCACTGTGCGGAGGTTTAAGTTTTACTAAATGTCTAAAGCAGAAGAGAGTATTTTTCCACAGACTCTCGGTTCTAATTTTTTGAATATACTGAATGTGTGGTGAATTTTATTTTTACAGTACTTATTTCGGATGTTTCTTCTGAAACTGTTCGTAATCTTTAGAGTGAAAAGTTCTCAAGCCAAATTTCGTACAGAATATTCGTGCAAACGTTTAGGCGCCCTCCTTTTTTCCCTAAGATGTATTTTTCGCTGCGCCATTTTTTTCGTACATCAGATTAAACGAATTTTGGCGTTTCTTTTTTTTTTTTTTATTCGACGGCATAAATTTAAAAACTACTGTTTTTTTCTTTACGATGCTGTTCGCGCAATGCCTTTCAGTATAAAGATGAGTCTATATAATTCCTTAAATGATAGCGACCAGTATTTGGATTTAATTTTCTAGTAACGAAAATTGTCCTCCTTTAATGATTTCCAGCTCGAAGCGATTTCCTCGAGACATTTCTGTATCATCCCGGCATTTTATTACTACGCACAGATAACGGAAGAACTTTCTTCTATTGTATTGCATTAGGTTTACGGATGTCACCTCATGGCTTCCTGGGGCGACAGAATGTGGACATTCGCCATTGGAGTTTACATGATGAAGTTGTATCCGAATTCCCTGAAACTTACAGCGATTTACGGAATAACAGTAGCGGTGTCCGTGCTAGTTTTTGGCAGTTTCATCGGCGCCTGGATAGACAGAACTTGTCGCATTCGAGGTCGTAGTTCTTTCTGAAAATATCCGAAGAAATGGCGTTGAATTTATAATTGCATGCGATTCCGGAATAGCCGCGAAGACTGCACTGCTCGTGCAGAACAGCAGCGTGGCTCTGTGCGCTTTGCTCTTGGTAGTTGTCAGCACGTTCGGAGAAGCATTGCTGACATCACTTGGTGCGTGGGAGGACCAATTCGAACAAGGTCTCATAATCTTAGTAGCAGGTGTCGCTGCTCTAGCTGCGGAAGCATCTAGGATCATTCTGGAAAAGGATTGGATTGTTGTCATTGCCGGCAATGATAGCACTCTTCTCTCTAGCAAGTGACTCATTCTTTCAGTTGTCTCTACATTGGAACAGTTTTTCAAATCTCCACAAAAAAAATGTTTTGCGCATGTGGATCGCTTGAGAGATGGCGTTAATCATGTGTGCAGACTATAATTTCATAGGAATAAGTCTGTCACTTGTTCAATGTTCTCCAATCATCTCATCTACGAGATGGAAAGTAAACTTGTTGTCCTTCTTGTCTATTTTACAGCAATTGAGGCAGTGGTTTGTTTTTGTGATGCAACAGTCGAATCAAGTTACCCAGATGGAAAAATGTACTTTAAACATGCCAGACATTTTTCAGCTTGATCACTGTACAGAGCCTGTTTTCTTGTGAAAATGGTCACAATGCTTGTTGCCAAAAAATTGGTTTTTGAGCATATCGGCAAAATTAGCCCATTGCTTCTTATAATATGATGGTATCTGATTATAAAATGTCTTCAATACATTATTGAATGTGTCTCGCAACAATTATGCAAAGAAATTAATGAGGAAGTACTGTATATTCAAATTTCTTTACAACAAATGCGGTACTCGTCAGGACTGAAAGATACATTAGGGTTGTACAATACTTTGATCTTATATTATAGTCTTCTTCGTAAAAACATTAATTTTCGAAAGGTATAAATATTGGCTCGGAGAAAATCTTTGCAAATGGGGTCTGTCTCTAAAAACATGTCAGTTGGAATGCAAAGTACTTGTAAAATATCTTGGCATTCATGGACTATAGAACTGCCGCTAGTTACTCGCACACATCAGCAGTCAAGAAAAAAACCTATTCTTTATGGGGCAATTGAATGCTTGATTGATTGACTCGGATGATATCAGATTCTCTCTCCCGCCGAAGACGTGATTGATTGATTGATTGGTGTTGGGGTTGCGACTGACGAAACCAGGTTACAACTCGGTTCTGCGGGCGATTGACCTGGGCTCCAACATCCTTGCCCCGGGTGTCGTCGGCTTCCTGATGAGCTGGATGTCTTCCACCACGGCAGCCGTTTTCCTCTGCGTCTGGAACGTCATTTCCATGGTTCTGGAATACTTCTTGCTCACCAATATTTACACCACGTTTCCGGACTTGGCCATGAAAACCGAGGTGTCTGGAGACAGTGTCTTGAACGATGTGCCTGATGGCGTCGTGGATTGCCGTGTTGAAGGTTTGGCATTTCAAGCATGCTATCCACCATGCTTATTGTTTTTAAATACAGTAATTTCATTTGCGAGATTTTTCAGTGATATAGTTCATATAATGTGGGTTGAATACCGTATTTACTCAAGTACCCCACGCCTTCGAGTAAGGCACGCACAGGGGTTTTTCAATTCAAAATTTGGCTAAAATTGTATCCCCAAGTAAGATGCGCACCCCATCATTAGGGCTAAAACTACAAAATTTTGAAAATAAAAACAAAAAATTTGACTTTTGATGTGAATTGAACATGAATCTGATCAATTTTCAAATTTTTCAGTAAAACAAGGTTTTCTTGGTACATTTGTCCCAAATTTCTCCATTATAATCAACTATAATTAACACACAACTTCCTAAAACTTTTTGAAAGTTTTGTACCCGCTTATGACGCGCACCACTTTTTTTCTTCTTAAATTTTTGAAAAAAGGTGCACATGGTACTCAAGTAAATATAGTACTATGTATAGTACACAGTACAGTGAGTCCCCCACATGACGAAATATCCACGTAACAATAATATAAATTCGCATATTGACGATTTTCAAGAGAAGAAGTGACTCATTGTGGAACATAAAATTTTTTTCTGCAAATGATATTGAAAGATGATACTGTGAAAAAGGTTTGCTCAAGATCAAAAAGCATAGATTGAGGCAATGATAATACTGCATCAATCAATCAATATTGACATCAAAAGATATCAATCTCCTAATATTTTTTTGACGATGAATTTGAAAGATATGCGTTTATAAATTGTCTCATCCAAGGAAACAATGCATTACACACGTAATCCAATAATTATTCATATTTATAAGGAGATGAAGTACGGCGGTATGTTGCATTTGTTTACGTTTTCGAATGACATTTCGAGAAGGAAAAGTTCGGTATTTATTTTCAGTTCCAAGAAAGCAGAAGGAAGGTATGGGGAAGTGGATAAAAAACGCCGTTTTTGCCTGGGTGATTTATTTCCGACATGAAGTGTTCGCTGCTGGTTTCGGATTGGCATTATTGTACATGACCGTGTTGGGCTTTGACCTCGTCACGACAGGTTTGCATCGGTTCGTTTCAATTAAACCTCACTATTTACGTATGCCACGCAAAGCTTTTGACTTGTTGACGTTAAAATTTTAATTGAAATCGTCCATTTCAAGAATTAAGAAGTGTATATACGGTACTTATTATAAGAACCTGCCAAATTTCAGCAAGAAGTTGTCCTATATTTTTAATGAAAATCTCATCAGGATTTCGAAACATGTTTCCTTGTGTCAGAATTTGGCAGAACCGGTGGGACATTTTTTTATGAATGTTGCTGATGTCCAAGTTTTTGAAAAGCAGTACTTCACATAACTTTCAGATTAGAAAGACACATTTTTGTTCATATTGTGTCTGCTAATTGAAGAAACCTGATCTATCACTATTAAAAATTCTGTTGAATTTTTCTTCGTGGCAAGAAGGTACAATAGAACCTTCATAACTGAAACCTGAAGTCAAAAACCACTTTCGTAAAATTTTTTGGGTAGTCCCTGTAGAAATTCCTTCAAGAAGAAAAAATCTTAAACTCAAAAACTCGCCCCCTCTATAAAATAAATTCCTGCGGTTTTTTTAGTCATTATTTAAGAGAACCCAGGACAGAGAAAGGCATTAAAAAAGTAACTTGATGTCTCCCAAAAGAAAGTGAAATAACTAGTGACTAATTGGGCAAATGTGGCCTTGCTTATAAGTTCAAAATCCTATCAATTCATATAATGAGCAGTTTAAGGCCCATAATAAGATCACTAATTTAGCCTTTTCGTAATTTTTCATTTTCCCTTTTTTAAAAAAATACTGGTTTCCCTAACTTGAAAAATCAGTGAGTCAAACTTTTGTGTGGGTCCCTCCGAATTTGACTGGAAGAAGCACAACTGCATTACAGCCTATTTTGCCAGGAAATTCATTACACTAACGTTCACTTTCTAGGAAGAATGGCATATGACACATCCTTGGTTTGTACACCCATGATTTCTTTTTTTCAGCATATGCCTATTCTCAAGGAGTTCCTCCTTGGCTCCTGGGTTTGTTGACTGGACTAGGAGCTTTGAATGGCATGATTGGGGCTCTTAGTTTCCCCTGGCTCTGTTCTCGCTTGGGACTGAGAAGCACCGGGGTTTTGGGGTTCTCCCTGGAAGCGATCATGCTCACGTTTTCCGTCATTTCCATAGGGTTGCCGGGATCTCCTTACCTAGTGGGTATTGTTTCTGAAAGCGGGTTCAAGTGAGGTTGTTGGAAAAAGTTTAAAATGTGCATTTTAAATAAATAATGGATCAACTGATTAAAAAAAAATCTGATGCAGATTTATGGTTTGAGCTGCCAAAAAACAATGTTATGCCAGAAAACTTGGGAACATTTGATAATTTCAAAAAATTGGGCCTGACATCCATACAATATCTCAACATATGGGCACTTTTTCAGCATTTCTAGAAAATTTCAAAATTTTAATTTTTCTTGAAAAAATTTAGCAATTGGTGTTCACAGAAGTTAAATATGATTATTATTATATTGTATATGTAGTTGAATTTATAATCATAAGCATGTTAATTTTGTGCTTATGCTTTAGCATCCTCTATCATCTGTGCACAGGATAGCAAGACTTTCACATTTTGTTTGTATTTTTGAGTCCTTTTCATGCCAGAGGGGGTATCCTGTTGTGGGGTTTTTTAAAATTCTGAGTACCGTATTTACTTGAGTACCACACGCCCTCAAGTAAGGCGCGCACAGGGGTTTTTCAGTTGAAAAATGTGCAAAAATTGTATTCCCAAGTAAGACGCGCACCCCAATTTTTAGTGAATCTAAAACCATAAAATTTCGAAAATAAAAACAAAACTTTGACCTTAGGCTTGAATTGAACAAAAATCTGATGAATTTTCAACTTTTTCAATACAAAAATGTTTTCTTGTTATATTTGTTCCAAATTTCTCCAGTATAATCAAGTATAATGCAAACATAACTTCCTAAAACTTCTTGAAAATTTTGTACCTACCTATGACACGCACCCCTTTTTTTCTTCTGAAATTTTGGAAAAAAGGTGCGCGTGGTACTCAGGTAAATACGGTAATAGTTATACTGTATTCTGTATCTTCAAGTTGAGAAAAAAATTCTATATGAGTTTTTAGGGATTTGTTCCTAATTTTCCATAAACTGGAGAACCAATTGAATTAGTTTCCATTGAAGTTTATGGGAAAATGAGGTCCAACATGCTGCAGACATCCAACAGAAGGACACTGTTCAAGCACCAATCACGTGGGTTGTTTCACAAGTTTTGCTACTATTTTAAATAGACCCCACACCTTTTGGTCAATCAAAAATTTTCTGCTGTTCAACATACTCTCCACCAATTTCAATGCACCTTTTCATGCAATCAAAACAGTGGGAAAATCAATTTCAGTCTGAACATGATTTTCACCATCGATAGTACGCTGAAAAGCATCAAGTGTTGCCGCGTGACAAGGTGATGATGTGAGTAAAAAAACATTTTTAATTAACCAAGCCATCTTGGATCTATTTGAAACAGTTGCAAGACTTATGAAACAACCCTCGTACATCCGCATCTTTGAGGCCTAATTGTATGTCACATCATATACGAAATTGCTTGTCGCAACGAAATGTTACAATTTTTAACCAAATTTTCCGGTCGTGCAGCAATTGCCTTCAGAAGGAAAGTCGCCACACGGCAACTGGACTCTGGCCGGACTCGACCTGACGCTCGATTCCAGGGCGAATATCTGCGACACCTGCGGCGTCGTCGTGTTCAATGAAACGTCAGCAGAAACGGCGGCAGCTGTGGGCTCATTTCGCAACCCCGGCGGCGCCGCAGGGCCGCCTCTGGACGACCCGGAGACTCGGAAAATATTGGCAATATTGCGACACCTGGAAAATGTCACGTATTCCGACAACAGCCGGAGTTTGAGGGCCGAGAACCGAGGGACTAATTTCTCCATCGTCGCCTTCCTCGGGGGCATCATTGCTGCGCGATTCGGTTCGTTTCATTTCCACTTATTCAACTCAATCGAGAAAAATAAATGATTGAATAAATTATGACGTCGTGGTGAGATTGAAAGGTTCCCGACAGGTTCTCTTTTTCGTTCGACGCGCTCTGAATTGTCAAAACACTTTTAAGATTCAATTTTTTTTTACCATCACTGTCGTCAGCATGGACAGTCCTCGGAATTTATTCTTTCGAAATTTTTCCATCTCGGTGAATCGATCATAAACGATTGGCGCCCATTTTCTAAATTTTACGGGCTCGAATACGAAAAAAAAGTATTCGGACTGAATGCAGTACTTTATCCTCGGCTAAAAATACCGGAAGTCCAAGGCATTCTTCCATTATTCTATTTGCCAACGCTTGATGAAGGAACATTCTATGCGAATTTATAAGCGGATTAATTCAAATGTTATATTTCTCGCGCATTTTTTAAAAGCAAAAAGTCTCTAGTACGAAAACAAAGCACGTCAGATTGAATTTAATTGAATAGTTTATAATTGTCTCAAAACAAAAATAAAATAAAAAAGAAAGCTAAAGTTGATCTTCAGGCAATCGAGATTTCAAAATTCTGGGATAACATTGAACCATGATGGAGTTTTGATAAAATTATATTTATATAGTCCGACATTTTTGAGAATTTTAACTCTTCGAAATTTTAAACTCGATCATATTGTGTTTGGATTGACGATTTTCGCATATTTTTAAAATAATACAGTTTCAAAAAATTAAAATATCAAGACATGCTTTACAGTTCTAAGGCTGATAATACATAAAATGAGTTTCACGAGTCAAGTACTCAATTACATCCGTGTGATCGAGATTCACGAAAATATTTTTCTTTTCATTTGAAAAACAAGATGCATATGTTTCAGAAAATTTACGAATATTTTGGAATGCACGAATTGAAACACCGGTTTAGGGTTGTTCCTGTGAATCAGCAATCTTTCCATTTCCTGACTTGTTTTTCCTTCTAGGATTATGGGTAGCGGATCTCACGGTGACCCAAGTGATTCAAGAAAATGTCCGAGAAGATCAACGAGGCATCATCAACGGGGTTCAAACATCAATGAATCAATTGCTGGATCTAATAAAATTCCTCTTGGTAGTCATGATCCCGGAAACGGAAAATTTCGCCTACTTGATAGTCGCGTCCTACTCGTTCGTCTGTGCCGGGCAAGTCCTGATTTTACTGTTGCTGTTTGAAAGCATTTTCTAAAATATTATATCGTTTCTACAGTTGGGTATCGTTCATGCTTTACTGTCTGAGAACCACTAAAGAAGACAGGGAACGCTTCGAGTCACGAGCTGTTGATCGAAAAGAAGAACAACAGACAGAAAGTGAAGCGGAAAGCAGTGAGCAGAAAGCGGATTCTTCTACTCGACAGTCCGTCGTTTGAAACGTGTTTGTAAAAAGTTTTCTTGAGTGTTCTCATATTCATCTGTTTCTTGTTCTATTTTTTCAAAAGACCTGCATTTTTCTTTCGAATTTATATCTTCTGAAAACATACCAGAGAAAACTGAATACGGAGTGAAATTGTGTACTCTTACAATTTTTTCTCGACGATTTTGGGATATTTTTCGAAGTACGTAGGTTAAAATTTAAACTGGAAATCCCCACGTTTTTATCAATGGATGATCGAAATTGAAGATGCTAAAATACTGTACTAGCATTCGTTCGATTTATATTTGGCAGAATTTCTGATTGTTCAGAAGGAAAAAGAAATTTTTTCTTGAAATGAACGTCGAGACGCGTTAAGTAGTGTATCCCGAAAATTTTCTACTGATTTCATCTTTTATTTTCATCAGAACATCTTAGTTATCCACGTAAAAGACAATAGAGTTTATAAGATGTATCTGATATTTTCGTACTGCATTTAAAGTAAAGCAATTGTGTCTTAGAATATGGGAAAAACTTTTATTCCATTCGAGTTTTTCATAATTTCTAAAAAAAACTAGTTTCTTTTCTTCTCATGCTTGATTTACCCCCGAATAAGTGTGGAGGCGTGTTCATACAACTCATAAAAATCGGAAAGAAACCCCCGTGGGCTGAAATTACTACTGGCCGCCGCCCAAATGATTACTCCTATATTCCTCCGCTGAGGTCAATCACTTTTTCTTATTTTCAATCGTAAGAGAAATGGAAAAAGAGAACAAAAAACCGAAAGCTTTCTGAAGGCAAAGCAAAAAGTTCAATGTCGCGTGAAACAAGGTGCAGAAATTTGCAGATTATTTACTGTCCGTGTTTAAAAGAGCTCTGATGTGAAGGAAGTCTTTTAAAAGATCGTGAATTCTTTCGGTTCCACATGAGAAATTGAGCTAATAGAATTGAGCTCTACATTTTCTTGAAAATATTCTGGACCGATTTATTAATTTAAACTTCGACCTCGATGGAACATTTTTAGGGAGAATTTCTATCTCTCACTCTGATTGTCAAACACTTTAAAGCACTGGAAGCAACAGGAATTAAATTATATTTGTCCTGAGAACTGTATTTTCTCTCGGGAAAATCCACACTTTGTCTAGAAAACACATCCGGATTCATTTCTAACGTTTTCTTCAATTCCTCGATGTTCAATTCCGAGGCTTGGTCTAAACGCAAATAATAAGCACTGATAGTTTCAGGAACTTTCATGGCGGCAGGTTTTCGAAGTGGAAGATATTTCCCTGAGCTCCCTCCTTAGGGCATTCAGGAAAACTTTCGGAAAACGACTCCAATACCTCCAGACCTATAAGAAGAAGGAATACGTTTTCTATTTTGAAACCATCTGGCAAAGGAGCCCCGCGCCGGGAAAAACACAGTTAGCCCAGGGAGGAAGTTCAATCCTCAGGTATTTTACTGATGGAGTGGAACGGCAGAAAAATCGCAAAAATTATTTGCTAAATTTTAAGGCTAATCCTATCGCGATTTATGTCTGACATAGCCTTCAAGACCAGATATATTGGGCAACTTGCGAATTAATCCCCTTGAATAAAAGAAAAAAAAGGGGGACAGGTTCAAATGCCTGTGAGCAATGTGCAATGTATTTTGGCACATATTGGCACGTAAATTTATATCATAGGAAAATATAATACTTCGACGACAAAGCCAATAATTCTCTTCTTAATTCAAATTTAATTACAATGTGGCTCCGCTGAAGGGACTCCAGAAATTCTTAATATTTCACAAGTTTTAACAGAAAACATTTTTCGGAAACAATTTAAAATTAATTGAATTCAGGTTGCATTCATGTCTAAATTCAAATTTCTCATTTGAAAAATAAGACAAATGAGGAATTTGACTTCATACCGGAATGCAACCTGAATTCAATTAATTTTCAATTGTTTCCATAAAAATATTTTCCGTTAAAACTGGTCCAAAATTTCCGATTACTATATGATCAAGTATGATGCCCTCTTAACTTCTAAAATTGCTGGAGAAAATTTAATTTAAAATACAAGACACACACGACTTCTTTCCTCTCAATTTTGAGAAAAAAAACGTTGAAAAAATATTTGTGTGCATGTGCTACTATTCAGTAAATGTAGTACTGTACATTGAGATACAAGTTTGAAAATTAAATGCCTCATCAAAAAGTTACTTTCGTAACTTTAATTTTCAAATGAAATTCATTCACTCAATACTTGCAGTCAAAGTGAGAGACTCGCCAAATAATAATCTTTTTTACATAATCTAAAATGGAAATTAAACACCCAGCAACGTCTTTCAACTTCAGTCACTTCTTCATGAAATTCTTAACTTCACAAAAGACGCCAGTCGTCCCATAAAAACGAGGATACCCCTGAACTGTTCAGACCCATAAATTTTAACGATTGCGTCTGTAGTGAGGGGGATTTATTATCTTCTCTTCCCAAGGGTGTAGGAATACCAGTGTTATGATGCCCCTGCTCCAAAGGCAACGCTGTTACCAACGGCTTCATTTAATGATTTCATCCACGCAAACGGTATTAATTTGAACTTAATGAGAGCAGCGATAAAATATAAGTAACAGGGGCATTAAAAGCATAAAAAAGGAGTTAAAAGAGGGGAATAGAGCCGGAGTTACAATTACATATGCACCATTTAGACGGGAAGCTTTATTCAAGAATATCGCGTTTCCCCCAGAGACAGGTTGTCCTCATTAATTTTTCTGCCAGACTTAGTATCAGGGTTCGTCTTACTTTTGATACAAAAAGGACATAAAAATTAATGGAAGCCCAAAATAATATTCAAGGGAAAAGCCCCCCCCCCCCAAAAAAAGATAGACCTCACAACTTATTGAGGATGATTTCTTAAGGACTAATTTGCATTTAGGCATTGTATTTCATAATGAAAATGTTACGATTTGTTCATTTTTCACTTTTTCTAATTTTGTTTGTTCCCAATTTTGAGATTCCGGTCAGATCAAAGGCAACAAGAAACAACACTCAACTATATAAAGATTAGTCTTTCTCCATCTAAGAGCGAAGTTCTTTTTTTGACACCTAATTTAGGGAAAATTATCTGAGATTTTTGTGGGTTAGGGTTAATATTTTCGATTTTATTTTTAAAATTCTGTGTAGGACTTGATTTCCAAATGTTTCAATTCCAATCTTCAAGAATTTTACATATTTTTAAATGAATTATTAAAATATTAAAAGTTATTTTTTCCTTCTCCTGCTTGACAATTTAAACTGTGCTTAAAAAAAGCTGGCCAAGTTATGAGAAAAGTTAAAAAAAAAGATCTTGGATAAAATAAATGTTCAATTATTACTCTGCGCAATACAGTCAACCCCCGTCTAACGGACTTGATTTGTGCAAGGGACGAGTTAAGGGAAAACCCCCCCCCCCCCCCCCCCAGAAAAAAGAGAGACCCCACAACTTATTGAGGATGATGTCTTAAGGACTAATTTGCATCTAGGCATTGTATTTTATAATGAAAATGTTACGATTTGTTCATTTTTCACTTTTTCTAATTTTGTTTGTTCCCAATTTTTAGATTCCGGTCAGATCAAAGGCAACAAGAAACAACACTCAACTATATAAAGATTAGTCTTTCTCCATCTAAGAGCGAAGTTCTTTTTTTGACAACTAATTTAGGGAAAATTATCTGGGATTTTTGTGGGTTAGGGTTAATATTTTCGATTTTATTTTTAAAATTCTGTGTAGGACTTAATTCCCAAATGTTTCAATTCCATATTTATGAATTATTAAAATATTAAGCTATTGAATTTTTTTCATTCTCCTGCTTGAGAAGTTAAACTGCGCTTTAAAAAAAGCTGGCCAATTTTTGAGAAAAGTTAGAAAAAGATCTTGGATAAAATGAATGTTGAATTATTGCTCTGCGCAATATACGCATTCCGCTCAAATTGAAGCTGATTCAAGAAATAGTGACCATATCTTTAATGATGGACTTAGTAATTAAAAAGCTAAACTTGTTCATGCCTATAAACAACTGAGACTCGAAGTTTAAAAAAAAAAAAAAAAAAAAAAACAGCCCACCTAATCGCTGTTTTGTCTTGTACAGGAATATGTTTTAAGACTTTGAACCAACCATCAGCCTTCCGGTGTTGAACATGCCCTGATTGTTTTACAGACTCGGGCCATCTCAGGAGCACTGAAACAGTACTTAGTACCACAGAACTGGGATATTTACTGGCCAATTCAGAAGAACAAGGTGATAAATCCAAGGGAAGTCTACGACGTACTTGAAAGAATTGATGAGCTTAAACATTGTTGCAAACACAAGGATCGTGATGATAACCAACCTGAAACTACAGCAGTTATCCCTTTTGGAGAGTGCATTAATCAAGGGCATGCTTACAAGTTTTTGCAGCCTACAAATATACATTTTAGATATTATATCAGGCTATTTTTACATGACTGATTGAAGTATGTACGCGCAAATATTTTCATGTAGCAGTAAGCATTCCATGAGTAATTTTGCTAAAATTTCCACAACAGCTGCATAAAATACGACTCTTCTGCCTAATTCGGATACAAGATATTTCTAGGAACCCATGAGTATACAGTTTTTTTTAAATGGACCTGTTTAAGCTGGTCTGCAAAAAAAAATTCTCAAGGCATCTAAGCAGCTGACGAATATGTGACCTGACCCCAGATCTCAATTTTTGAAAATCTGATGATCTAGATTCTAGAATATTGAAATATTCAAGCAAATCTTCAAAATATTTCTTTGGATATGACGAGCAGCTGCATAATGTGTGAAATACAATAAATTTTCATCCTTAAATCTCATCTCAATTTTTAAAAGGCCCTTTTTCTCGTTGATTTCCAGGTACTTTTTACACTCGTTGAAGCAGCATAAATGTTGAAAATTCGTCAAATCTCATCGTTTACTGATCCATAAAAACGGACACTCATCTGACTTGTGATCATTAAAAGCCATGAACAGAAATGGATGAGGTCTGTGTTGGAGGGATTTTTATGGCGTTAACCGATAGTGAATCCATTACCACCTTTGCTTCATAAATCTTTTTTCAGAAGTCGAAGTTGTCCGGAATGAAGCTGGAGCTGACTTGAATTATTGTTCCAGATTTGGACTGTTGATGAGGAAATCTG